AATAAATAAATAAATAAATAAATAAATAAATAAATAAATAAATAAATAAATAAATAAATAAATAAATAAATAAATAAATAAATATAGTGTAATGGGCGATTAATCCATTTTTCGTTTATTTGCCCGGCCAGGACTCATCAGCCATTTTCTATTTATCTTCCCTGTCTGTCTTTTTATTCAATAAATAAATAAATAAATAAATAAATAAATAAATAAATAAATAAATAAATAAATAAATGATAAATAAAACAAAATAAATAAATAAATAAATAAATAAATAAATAAATAAAGTAAAATAAATAAGTAAATAAATAAAAAATTAATTAATAAATAAAAAGTTTGAATTAATTCGCGTTTTTCAGTGGAGTCCATTTTGGTGTTGGGTTTTTTTTTGTTTTTTTTTGCTTTTTTTTGCACAATTTGGTTTAAAATGAAATTCTTTTTAAAAGTAAAAAGAAGTTTGAAAAAGAGAATTAAAAAAGGAAAACAAATGAAGGAAATCTGCAGTTTCGTGCTGCTGCTGCTGCTGCTGCTGCTGCTGCTGCTGCTCAGGCGCTGCGGGCAGCCGCTGTGGCTGTGCGCAGCAGCAGATGTGCTGCTGCTGCCTTCGGGGCAGTGGCCCCAGACGCTCTATTTATCGGTAAAAGTCTTTTATTTTTGAATTAAATTAAATTAATTAATTTAATTTTAATTTATTTAAATTAATTTCTTCTTTTTCCCTCCATTTTGAGCCACTTTTGGGGCAATTTGGTCGCTGCTGCGCTGCAGTGGCTGCAGCAGCAGCAGGCGACTTGGAGTGTTTCGCGCATTTGTTTGGATCTTTTTGTCTAATTTTTGAAATAATTTAATAATTTGCAGTTTTTAATTAATTTAAATAATTAAATAATTAAATAATTCAAAATTTTGAACCCTTTGTTTGCCATTTCAAGCAGCAGCTGCCAGTTTGTCCAGCCTACACCGCCGGACAGACCAGTGGTCTGTTTGAAGGAATACCATTATTGGTCTTTTTTTAATTAATTCATCAATTAAAATAATCCATTGACTCAAATAAACCATTTCACCCATTAAATGCTGTAAATCACCACTCAACAGAGCTCGCTCGCCTCGCAGCAGCAGCAGCAGCAACAGCAACAGCAGCAGCAGCAGCAGCAGCAGCAGCAGCAGCACAAGTCCATTTTCAGCGAAGTGCTTGACTAGCAAAGTCACTTGGGGCCAAACTGAGGGCCACTTGGGGCCATTTAGATCTTTTTGTGGATTTTGAGTTTTGCCCGAATTGGCCGTGCAGCTGCAGCACAGGGTGTGGGGCCGCAGGCGCTGCAGCAGCAGCAGCAGCAGCAGCAGCAGCAGCAGCAGCAGCAGCTGTTTGTCTCCCTTTGCCGTTTCTTTTGCTGCTGCTTCTTCCGGAGCAAATAGCCCGCCAGCTGGCTCCCTTTGTGCCTTTTATTTGTCTCTTTTTGCCTTTTATTTACTTCTTTTTTTTATTTCTTTTATTTATTTTCATTTTTATTTTTATTTGTTTCAATTTTTAATTTCTTTTGTTTGCTGCTGCTCAGTCTTGCGAAGAATGTCCTTCTGCTCTGGGGATGCCTCGGGTGGCGGCGACGGTGCCGGGGAGGTAGAACTGGCTGCTGCTGCTGCTGCTGCTGCTGCTGCTGCTGCTGCTGTTGCTGCTGTTGCTGCTGTTGCTGCTGCTGCTGCTGGGCGTCCAAGTCTGGCTCGCTGGCCGAAAGCGCGGGCGACGCAGCAGCAGCAGCAGCAGCAGCAGCAGCAAAACAGCAGCAGCAGCAGCAGCAAAACAGCTGCTGAGTCGCTCTTTTTTGCTTCAAACCGCCGCCTTTTCGCGCCATCCCCCTGCTGCTGCTGCTGCTGCTGCTGCTGCGGCTGCTGCTGCTGATTTTGTGTCTGTTTAGGGTCCTTGTTGGGGAGGAAATAATTTATTTGTCTTCCGCAAATGCCATTAATTTGCTTCGAGGCCCTCATGTTGCTGCTGCAGACGAGCCCGTCCTTACGCAGGCAGCAGGTCAGGACCTTCACACACAAGCTGCTGCTGCTGCTGCTGCTGCTGCTGCTGCTGCTGCTGCTGCTTCAGGCACATCTGCTGCGGGGGCTGCGTGCGAGGCTGCTGCTGTACCTGGCGCTGCTGCTGCGGCTGCGTTTGTTGTATCTGCTGTTGCATTTGTTGCCGTGGCAGCTGCTGCTGCTTGTGCTGCTTGTGCTGCTGCTGCTGCTGCTGCTGCTGCTGTTGCTGCTGCAGTGAGCTGCAGGTCTTGCGGCTTGATTTTGGGCACTGAAAGAAGGCTGGCCCCTCCCGCTGCAGCTCGCAGCCTTGACCGCTCCACATGCTGCAGCAGCAGCACAGCAGCCGAAGCAGCAAAAAAAGCAGCAGCAGCAGCAGCAGCAGAAAAAGCAGCAGCAGCAGCAGAAGAAAAAGCAGCAGCAGCAGCAGCAACAGAGGCGGCCGAGTCGGACTTGTGCCTATGGAAGAAGAAGACGTCGCTGCGCGCGCTGTCTCCCGCTGCAGCAGCAGCAGCAGCTGCTGCTGCTGCTGCTGCGTCTCCCGCTGCTGCTTCCGGAGCACCCCCGGCCGCAGCAGCAGCAGCAGCAGCAGCAGCAGCAGCAGCAGCAGCAGCAGACGGGCTGCGGGCCCCGAACCTGTTTCGCAGCCACTCAGACCTTTCTTACTTCGCCAAAGACCTCAGCAGCTACAGCAGAAGTCTCCAAACTTTTCGCTTTTTGCTGCTGCCCTTCGCAGCCCCCCCCGGTGCTGCTGCTGCTTGGGAGATTGGCTACGAGCCCCCGGCTGCTGCATGCAGCTGCGCAGCAGCAGCAGCAGCAGCAGCAGCAGCAGCAGCAGCAGCAGCAGGAGCAGCAGATGGGGAGGCGGGAGAGAAAAGGGAAAATGCGACAGAGGCCGAAAGTGAAGCAGCAAAACACAAGACGGAGATCAGGCCCTGGGTCTGCAGCGAAACTGCAGCAGCAGAAGCAGCAGCAGCAGCAGCAGCAGCAGCAAGAAACGCGCTCGAACTCACCGTCCTAGTCCGGGAATGCTTCGTCGCCAAAAGTGGAAACAAAGATAAAACTGAAATGGGAACTCTTGCCATGAAGGTCGGCGAACTCCCCAGCTGTCCATACACCCCAGCTAGCTGCCCATACACCCCAGCTAGCTGCCCATACACCCCAGCTAGCTGCCCATACACCCCAGCTAGCTGCCTATACACCCCAGCTAGCTGCCTATACACCCGAGTTGGCGCGCGTTTTGTGTTTTCTTTTTGTTTTTAATTATTTTAAATTTCTTTTTGTTCACTTCTTCGTTGCTGCTGCTGCATTAGCCCCCAAAGGCTCTTTGTTTGCCCTTCAGGTGGCGCTGCGGAGAGCAGCAGCAGCAACAGCAGCAGCAGCAGCAGCAAGACGGGGCTGCCCGCGCTGCAGTCCGCATGCAGCAGCAAACAAAAGCCGTTTGCATTTGGTCCGAGTTGGCCAGCAGCTTTTCACAGAGCTCTCGCTGTTGCTGCTGCTGCCCGTGGGGGGCCCCCAGGGGGGCCCCCCGGGGGGCCCCCCGGGGGGCCCCCCGGGGGCCCCCCCAGGGGGCCCCCCATGGGGGCCCCTGGGGGGCCCCCCAGGGGGCCCCCTATATGCAGGAGGGGGGGGCCCCCAGCTTGGGGCTGCATGCGCTCCTGCATGCATTCCCCCTTTACTTGTTAATATGAGACAGGCTTTAGGAGCAGCGGGGGTTTTGGCCTTTTTGCCGCTGCCGTGTTAAACCCTAAACCCTAAACCCTAAACCCTAAACCCTCGCGGCGGACTTCGCGTTGAGGCTCTAGGGCTTACGGATCAAAGTTTAAGGTTTTGGTTTTAGGGTTTGGGGCTCGGGGTTTAGGGTTTAGGGTTTAGGGTTTAGGGTTTAGGGTTTAGGGTTTAGGGTTTAGGCAGCTGATGCTGCTGCGGAAGAGAGAGCAGAGCAGCAGCTTCAAGAAAAGAAGCAGCAGCAGAAATTTAAAAGAATAAATGTGGGAAAGCAGCAGCAGCAGCAGCAGCAGCAGCAAAGGCAAGTTCAGATGAGGCTGTCTCTCAATCTGGAAAAATAAATGCAGGAAAGCAGCAGCAGCAGCAGCAGCAGCAGCA